ATGGGGGCTGCACTGTTGGCAAATAGGGGGTTCTGGAATCTTCTGGGAACACGGCTTCTGGAAGGCAGGGCCTGTGGGCTGAGGGTGTTGGGCTGGTGGTGCTCGGGGCAGGGAGGACCAGCAAGTGAACAAGTGACCCAGGCTGTGAGCAGAGGAGCCAGGCAGAGCCTGCCGCGGCCTCAGAAAAAGACGAAGGCACACAGAGCATTTGCTGAAGTGCTGGGGATGAATCTCTTTAGACCGAGTACAATGGAGACCCAGATGCTCTCGGCAAAGCCAGGCTTTCAACTGTTTTGTTTTTCCAGCCCTGGCTACTGCCGCCAAACTGACAAGCATGTAAAAGCTGAGGGGGTGTGGGGTTCAAGACCTGCCAGATCTGTCTGACAAGCACAAAAGGATGCAATTTGATCCTTCTTTCTCTCTTGGCTAATCATTCGGTGAGCTTCTCCTTGGAGTTATTATTCTGTTATAAACCCAGATGTCTGCAGTGAATCACCCTTTCTAGGCCTGAGCTAAGCAGGTTGGTGGCAGCCTATCAGGGTGCGTGCAGCCTCTCCCCACGTGCCAAGGTGGTGTGAATCACGAATCCTATGAGTTGCGATCAGCCAGCATTTCAACAGGAGAGCATTTTCTCTCCCCCGTGATACCCAGGAACTACTGGAAACAGGAAGCTGAAGCATTTGGCTGGAGAACAGCAACGTAGAGGGAAACTCAGGAGTGGAAAGGAGATGGGCGTCTCTTCTTGGGAGGTCTGAGGCACAGCTCCTACTCAAGGGGCCCAGAGTAGGCTGGGTCAAGGGCTGTGTTACCTCGGCAGAGGCAACAGCAGGGCTGGTGCACAAGGACCAGGTACGGCCTCGCTTAGGGGATGGATACGATAGGGTCCACCTTGTGACTCCAGCGTCCAGGGGAGTTTGGGGGTCTCTGCTCTAAATAACACCAGTGCTTCATGTGGAGTGGGGGGTGCCCAAGGCAGCCCAAGCCTGCAGGAACTGGGTGGTCTGGGCCTCTACAGTCAGTTACACAGGGGCCGTCAGATGTTTTCTGGAGGCAGCTGGCCCCATGGATGAGAAGCCTGGGAAAGATCAAGAGTTACCCTGTGCAGAGATACATGTCCAGAGCTTTTCATCAGCTGTACAGAGCAAAAGCTTCCCAGGGAAAAAACCTGTCTCTCCTGGTTAATGAGGCCCCAGAAGATGACAATGTGGAATATTAGACAAAGACAGCCAGTCTGCCCTCTGCGAGGCTGGCAGACAGCACAGTGACAGCGAGGTATCCAGCTCTGGACTAAAGAGCTCCCCGAAGCAGGATCAGTAACTGTTGAGCTATACTTTTTGATGCAAGTCCTAATATACTACAGAAAGGACCCCAGCATGGAATGGTACGGGTATCAGAGTCACATTGATGTTAATTACTGTGGCCTCTCTAACAGTACTGCTGGGAATATAAATTGTCACAAGCAGTTTGGGAAACTGTTTTGCTGCATTAGGTAAGCCGAATGTAAGTGTGTCATACTGTGACCCTGTAATTCCACTTCTAGGATATAACATGGGGCTGGGGATTTAGCTCAGCGGTGCTGCCACCTGCCTCCCAAGTGCAAGGACTGGAGCTTGATCCCTGGTACCAAAAAAAAAATTTTTTTTAAATTCAGCTCTTAAGTATTACTTTTACATTCTGTCAGTTTTTTTAAATTGAATGGTTATGCTGTTTGCCACAGTGTTTTTGAGTCCCAGGTGAAGGCCGTCAGCTGTATCAAAAGACACAACAATCACTATTTATTCAGCCTTGCTGCTTTACACTGCCCAATGCATTTTATAGATTTTTGGAAACCAAATAAATTCAGATAATTATTTAGTATACTAATGATAATAAACCAGCGGAAATATAAAGACAATAAAGTATGTATGTGTGTGTATATATATATATATATATAGGGAAAGATGAAAAATATGCATTTACAGCCAGACATGGTTGTAGCCCTAAATGTTCACTTCTCAGTGTCTTTCTTCATTACCCTAGGAGGATTTGAGTCACTGCAGCTTTAAACAGAAAATTAGTGCACTCACCAATTGTGAGCCATAAGTATATGTTTAGTAGTGCTTCGCTTATGTAAGGAAAAGATCTTTCTTTATGTAAAGAAAAGATCTGTAATATGTATTATATGTAATTATTTTTTGACTTTCATTTCAAAAATGTATATTTTCTGATTATTATCATGAGCTGTAAAGCAAAAGATCAATATCTGATATTCTCCCAAATAAATTTTCAGGATTCAAAAAAAAAAATACAGATGAATTTTGGGACAAAAGAAGCCAATGCAAGAGTGCATACTGCTTAAATTAATTTATATAAAGCAATAAACAAACAAAGCCAGTCTGTGATGAACATACTAAAAAACCATTGATTCTTATACTTTATTTATTTAAAAAATTTTTTTGTGAAAGTGGGGTTGGAACCCAGCGTCTTGTGCATGCTTGGCAAGTGCTCTACCACTGAGCTGCACCCTCAGCCTTAACTCATATTTTAAATTGATGAACTACATAGTATTTGAATTATATCTCAAGGGGTGATTTTTGAAAATCTATAGCATAGGCCAGGTGTGGTGATGCATGCCTATAATCCCAGCACTCAGGAGGCTGAGGCAGGAGGATCACCATGAGTTTGAGGCCTGCCTGGGCTACACAGTGAGACCCTGCCTCAAAAAAAAAAAAAAAAAAAAAAAAAAAAAAAAAGTCCAACAAACAAAAAAAGTCTATGGTATAGAAATTAGGGAAGAGCCAGGTGTGGTGGGGTGGTGCAGGCCTGTAATCCCAGTATTCTGGGAGACTGAGGCAGGACGATCCCATGTTTGAGTCCAGCCTGGGAAACAGTGAGATCCTATCTCAAAATAAAGGACTGAAGATGTAGCTCAGTGCGGAGGCCCTGGGTTCAATCCCAAAACAACCATAAAACGAGCAAGTGAAAAGGTCACAATAGGGGTTACCTTTGCCCTTGGTGAGGGGGGCTTCTGGGTGCTTGGGACACTTGGCTTACTCACAGGGAGCTGCGACTCTATGCTGTGCCCGACTGCTCCATACTGGACACCTTCTGACTTGAAAACTTCGTCCTGGCACTTGTTGGTTGTTTGGTACTCGATGAGTAAGTCGGACCCTGTCAGTGCTGACTGCTTCATGACTTGCTATCAAACAGTTCACTTGGTATCCATCATTTTTTGGCATTTGTCACACGTCCTGGAACTAACTAACAACCCAGGGGCCACGGTATCTGTGCACTTCTCCTTAGGCGTGCTAGCGACAGAAATGGCAACGACAATAACCACCGACAAAACAGGTCTGGCCTGGCTTGGGCCGGGATGGTGGCCTTCAGAAAGGCCCGACTGCCACTAGAGCGTCCCGCAAGAGGACCCAAGCTTATGAGAACTTTATGCTTCACTAGTGAAGTGGCACCTGCAGGCCTGGGGAGTTCTCAGGAGGCTTCCCCGGTCCTGGTGAGGTGTGGCCCAGAGGCCAGGGCATTAGGCCTGCATCTTTTCCGCCGCTCAGGCTGGGTCGAGGCTATTTAAAATCTCACTGCCAGCCTTCTGAGGTCAACTCTGCAGCCCCTAGAACGGAGGGGGAATGTCCTCGCCTCAAGGAGACCTTCAGGCCATACACCTGGTATGAGTGGGCCCACAGGAGCCTTCCCCTTCTGCCCAAGACCCCGTCAGGCTCCTCAGGGGTGGTTGGGGGCCTCATCACCTGCTGCCTAGCAGCATGAACACCTGAGCCCCCAGGAAACAAATCCCAGAGGGAGATTCCTGAGCTGGGGAGAGGCTCCCCTGAGAACTCCAGACAGCATGGAGATGGGATTTGAGGGTACAGGGGCATGGGGATTTGAGGCTGTGGCTTAAGTAGGACACCAGATTGTAGCCAGGGGCCAGGAGCTGGTGAATCTGTGTCTCCCAGGAAGCATTTGAGGTCAAGTTCTTTGAAAATCAGGCCGTACAAGGGCTGCTGCCAGGGTAGGGGATGTGTGCCCCCCGACATTCTGATTGGACTCTGTAGTTCAAAGCACCTGCACAGGAGAATCTGATGTCCAGTGGATGCGGAGACCCACAGGGACAAGCAACATTCACTTCATTCAGCAGATATTTACAGGGCAGCGGCTCTAGCTCCAGGTCAGTGCAGGCTCAGGGAAAGCAGAGGGATACACCGGGCCTTGCCTGCCATGGGCCCATGGTCCATGGAGAGGCTGGCAGGGGAAAGATCACTACAATATAGGAAAATGACAGCAATGACAGAGGTTCTGGAGCACAGAGGAGCAGTGAAAGAAGAACCCAGTTTTAGACTTTTTTTTTTTTTGCAACATACAGTTTCCTCCTGATTCATATCTCACAGGTCTGACTTTTTATATTTTGCATTTAGGAAAATACAGTAGGCAGGGCCAACTGAGTAAATGTTAAATATTATCCACAATAAGTCACACCAAAAAGAGAACCTACCAGTACTTTTCAAGCTATTAAAAAAAAATAATGACTACATTAGAAGAAATAAAAGATAGCTTTATGTCTCTTTTGCAATCTCTGCCATTGAAACCAGCTAGAAAGGTGACTATCATCTATCGTGGACTTTGGGGATTTAATTTAGCTTATCACGAATAAATGCATCCACCAAACACTTCCTTCCTTTGCAACAACAAACACCAGCAGGTCCTCTGCTTCTAGGTCTGTTTCAGATGACATAAAAATATAAAGTCAGTTCCTGGCCTGGGTCCGTGGGTAAGTGATGGGAACAGCAAAACAGGCTTAAATGCCTCCTTTGCCTCTGATGTCTAGCTGGATTCCCCATCCAGCTGCCAGAGGACCCTAGTGTGTGTGTGTGTGTGTGTGTGTGTGTGTGTGTGTGTGTGTGTGAGAGAGAGAGAGAGAGAGAGAGAGAGAGGGAGAGAGAGAGAGATCCGTGGCTGCCCCAGAAGCAGCAGAAAGAAGCTGAGAAGCCACCTTTGGCAAGCAGGAGCATTACCTTGGTCCCACTGTAGAAGTCGTCCACACACGTGGCATTCATGAAGGTCTGGTGGAAGTGGGTGCTGGTGTCAATGCCTCCGGGGATCACCAGCTTCCCGGTGGCATCGACCACCTTGGCCCCTCCAGGGATCATGAGCTCGCGGCCCACCTGCTGGATGATGCCATTCTCTATGTAGACGTCGGCTTCGTGGGTACAGTCATCATTCACCACCTTGCCTCCCTTGATAAGAATCCGCACGCTGGCTGAGTTGGCAAGCATATTCCTATGGAGGGGAGAAGGGGAACCGGTCAAGGTCAAGCTCAAAGTTCCACAGTCACCAAGGCTCATGCCATTAGAGCCAAGCTCCTCAGTCAGAGCGAGCAGGGAGGGGGAGGAAGCTGGTCCTACAACCACTGACCTCACAGTGGGACTTACGGGAATCATGACATGGTGGCCACAGAGGACAGCGGGAGCTCACAGAAACATTCCAAGCAAGTGCGTTGCCACAGAGCTGCACTCCTCCTAGCCCCTCGGTAGTTTCCCTGATTCTCTGAGTCTTTACAGATCAAGTCCTCCCTACTGGATTCTGTACCTACCTCAAAGTGGAATTATTTCAGTCACTTTTGTCTCCTTCCCCACCCTCACCCCCACCATCCAGCAGAGGACCCTCAAAACTGGTGCATAATGAATGGGGAGTCTTATCTACCTGTTGGACTCCGACACAACCAAAATAGTTAAAGCACTGAGTTGTAGACCAATTCCATGTATGTTTTCTGGTGTACCTGGCAACTTTATGTCCAGGGCAATGCTCAACTTTGCTATATAGCGAAGTGCTGTCAGAGAGCAAAGGAAGTAACACATTCTCTGTCATCCTCAGCATTAACTGGAAGGCTGTGCCCTGGGATACAAAGGCTCCAGGATCTGTGGAAGGAACCTTGGGAAAGGAGATATGTGAGCTATCAGGAGAGCTTAGACAGTTGGTTTGAGCAGTTGGCTTAGTTTTTGCCAAGTCGTCTGGGTGGAAGGGCAAGGAATCTCAGCACTCAGAAAGCTGTCAGTGTCCCCTGAGCCTAACTGCCAGGTGCTCTCCCAGCCGGAGAATGCTGGGAAATGAGACAGGTGGCTGGGAGTGACAAGTGCGCTCGGTGAACATCTGTTGCCTGCAAGGTGTCATGTGGACCTCTGGGAGAAAAGACTTGCTCGCTGGAGTGGAAGGCTCAGGGCAGAGAGCTGGGGAAGAGGGGGACAGCCACAAGCCCACTGTCTGAAGCTGCACATGTTTCAGGGGATCTTGGGTCCCACAAACTGAAAACTGGAGTCTTAATTTCTTAAGTAATAATCTGGAAATGGGTTCAGTTCTCAGTCGACAGACACAGCTACTCTGGTCTTTGGCTCTGTCTTATCCCCCACCCCCTTTTCAAAGCCAAGCCCAGGTGTGAGTGTGAAAGGGGAGGCCCCACCTCTCTGCAGGAATTACAGGAGGGGAGTGATGGAGGAGGCAGAGGTTGCTGAAAGAAGACACACACCTAACCCTCTGCACAAATACATAATCCTCACTTTTTAAAGCCTCTCAGGTAAGAGAAAAATAGGCAGACTGATGCCGGAACACTGCGACAGGCAACCTATCAATGTATAGGACAACACTGGTTTGCTTAAAGCTCACTGCACATGCCTACAGGTTAGGACTTGTAAGGGGGGTGCAGTAATGGTTTGCAGGGGACCCCTGCCTGAGCTTTGCTGCTGGCACCAAGAACCAAAGGCAGTGGCTCTCAGTGAGGTAACACCACATGCCCGGCACTCTCCTGCATCTCCACAGCAAGGCTGCAGGGAAAAAGGGATGTGTTAGCCCCATTTGAAGAGGACCAAGTGGAAGTTCTGAAGATGACAGGTAACAGGCAGCCCGTAAAGTGTCACGCAACGGCAGGAGGAGGGCAGGCTTCAGACCCAGTCCCGTCTGTTGGAACGGGAAGGTCGTCAGAGTCCACTCTGGGAAGAAGAGGTACGGTGATCCGTATGCTCTTCACAGGTTCTTGTATTTTTTACTTTTTCAGTTTTTATTGCTTATTAGTACGTGTTTGCCATACATAATGATTACACTCCTCACGGGGAGTTGATACACGCACAGAACACATCTTAATTCTTTTTTCATCCTTCTCCTCTATTTTCAAAATTTTATACAAGAAACTTGTATTTTATAATCTGAACATTTATACTTAAAAGCTTTTCAATTTTTTTTCTTTGAGCCAACAAGAAGCTAGAAATAATTCAATGTGACCTTCACTCAGGTCCAGCTGGTGCCCAGTTCCTCTCTGGGAGGAGGAGACGGAGCACTTGCTCCCCTTCTCTGGATCCCTTGGGCTGCCATCACCTCTCAGCTTGTCTTTTCCAACCTTCCTGCGGGAAGTCCTGGGAAGCTGACCTGGCCCTGCAGAAGCTCGGCTCTGTGAGGAACAGCAGGTCCCGCAAGCTCCCTGGTTTGGAATCCTGTTCCCACGGGCTTGGGGCAGTCCTGGAAATCCAGGTTGCACAGCACTGTGACTACCGGTTACCAAAGGCCTGCTACACACAAGGCTACCCAGCCCATGTGTTACCTTATTTCATCCTTACAGTGCCCCAGGCAGGTACCATGACTACCCGTTTTCACCAAGAGCAACCTGAGGTTTTAAAACTAAGGAAACTTCCTCAAGGTCACAGACTGAAAGTCAGCCAGTTTGTCCTTGGAGGGGTTATGGACTGTTTGCATCTCCTCACCTCCACACGCGAGTGCTGAAGCCCTAACTAACTCCCAGCCGGCTGCCTGTATTTGGAGAGGCAGCCTTTAAAGAAAAATGTTTTCAAGGTTAAATGAGGTCATAAGGGTGGGTCCCTGATCTGATGGGATTAGTGTCTTTGCAAGAGAAGACACCAGAGATTTCTCTCTTTATTTCTCTCCATGAACATGCACAGAAGGCCACAGTGAGAAGAAGCCATCTACGAGCCAGGAGTGGGACCTCCCAGAAACTTACCCTTAGACTTCCGGCCTTCAGAACTGTGAGGAAATACAGTTCTGTTGTTGAGACACAGTTTGTGGCAATTTGTTAAAGCAGCCCCAGCAGATGGACACGAGCACCTACACTGCAGCTTTGAGCCATGATAACAGCGGGGAAGGGTGACCGAGCCCCTAGATCGGCAGCTGCCACTTCCGTATAAATCACGGCCCAGCTGCAAGGCCTGGGTGGACCCAGGGCTAGTGGTGCTGCGTGACCCGCTGCCACCAGAACCGCCCATGGAGCTTCAGCCTTTCAGGTGACCGAAGCCTTGGACAGCTCCAGGCCTGGGCTAGGCGGCCTGGGTAATACCGCAGCATCATTGGTCCACACGTTCCTGCCCTGTGCATCTGGAGAACATGTCTTTAAAACGAACAGAACAGTCTAACTTCATTCCTTTCCCCTGGGGACAACTCAAAAAGGCACAGGCCCTGCTTGCTAGTGTGGAGAGATGCAAGTAGCTGTGTGACTAAGGAAATGAAGGGTACGGCAGACACATCTTGCCTACAACCGAAACACTAATTTGACAGGGTGTCTTTGCCTGTGTGCCAGAGATGAGAGCTGGCACAGATAGGTCCAGCTGTTCAGTGACCTGAGAAAAGCCTGTGAGGTCAGCGTGCTCCTGTGCACTTCCACATTTCTGCGTCACCACCTGCCAGCCCCTCCCATCCCATCCCCTGGCTGTGCCTGTCCACAATCTCTGCTTCTCACCTCCCCCCGCAGTACTCTCCTTAGCAACTCCTCCCTACAGCTTTCCCTGCTAGTCTTTGCTAAATTAAACAAAGGAAACATGCTCCTGGCATCCGTCCCTGCAGCCTGCCTGTGAACAAAGTGGGGTCGGGGGTGGGTGGGGGATACCCTGGACCTCACAGGGGGTTCTCCCAAGGAAGGTGTGAGGACAGTTGTAATCTGGGCTCTTGAACACCGTAAATGGCCCTGGCTATGTCTTCCCTCGGCTCTGGTGGAGGCAGCATACCCAGAAGACACTGCGGTCAGCAGGGGATAGAAGCTCTGCAGAAGGTCAGTTTCAGTCTTAGCAGTTAATGATACTTCAAGTCACCCAGTTTATTCCAAAACACAATAATTGTGCAGACAGAGCCAGTATCTAGCCCATGGGCTCAAGGTGCGCTATGAACTGCATGTGTGTGTCCCCACCCCACCCATACCACACATTGAAGTCCTAATCCCCGCTGCGATGGTCCTTAAAGGTGGGGCCTTTGGGAGTAATTAAGTCACAGGGTGAAGCCCTCATGAATGGGCTTAGTGAGATAGGAAAGATTTCTCTTTCTCTCTGCCAAGGGAGGGTATAGCAAGAACGCATCTGTTCCAAAGCCGGGGAAAAGGCTCTCATCAGGGACCAAATCAACGGGCACCTTGATCTTAGACCTCCCTGCTCTAAGAACAGTAATGAATAAACCGGTCTATGCTACTTTTTGTTACAGCAGTCTGAACGGATGGAGATATTACATTAGACAGAAATGCTTATAATCAAATTAGCATTAAGGAACAACTGGGCCTTAAAAATAAATGTCACCTCCTTTAAAGACTTCTGGCTATGTCACACATGCCCATATGCTTAACAAAAAACTTTGATCATCCAGCTATTTTGTCTATGCAAATAAAAGAATTCAGAACACATGTCTGTCCTCTCAGGCAGAAATGATAAAAATGTCAGATCATTAAAGCTATTAGAATACATCAGAGATTACAGAGCTGCACAGATCCATCCAGTGTGCCCTCACTTTCCCTCCAGTCCCTGGAATTTATCAAAGGTGACCTTGAACTGAAGGGAACCAGTCTGGGACTAACAGGGCGCTATTATACTGCAAATATGGAGGTCATGAGAATCTTCCAATTAATTTATTCATGGAAGGAGACTTTTTACAGAAAGATGGTAACTGTCTCAGCTATGCCAAGGTTTATCCAACTGTACACGGCTCGTGTCCCCTGACTCCCCAGTTCTGCGGCATGGAGTCCTTATGTTCCTGAAGCAGTTACAGGTTGGAGCTAAGGTGATATGTGAAGCTGGGAACAGAGATTTCTGCGTTGGGAACAATACTATAACCAGGGAGTGAGGATTTGATGAGAGAGCTCTTCATGTTAAAATAGTATGCATTACTGCTATCCAACAACAGTCGTGCTGGATAATAGGGTACCTCACATCCCACCCAACTGCTGCTGAGCTATTCCAATGCAGATCCGCACAGGAAGCAGCTTACTGAGTGACAGGCAAGGTCACGGCAGCTGCTGCTGCTCG